TTTGTAACACCTTTTTGCAATTCAAATTGTATTTTAAAGCGTTTAACTGCTATTTTAAGAATTTTAATGAGATTTTTAGGTTTGTTTGGAGGTTTGCGGTCAAGCTCTTCTTTATCTCATAAACTATCTACACATCTGGAAATTTAAAACTGTTTTAAACTTTAACAACGCCCATGAACTAAACAAAACTTTGCTAAGATTTACTTTAAAAATATACACGAACGTTTAATTCTCTTCGATTATAAATTTACAAAAAAATATATATATATACTTTGTTTAAAAATTAAAAAAGTCCATTAAATGAACTACAGTTTCATTAATCGTCCATATCATCGTCATCATCCATATCCATTTCATCGTCATCATATTCATCCTCACTAGTTTCATTAGGATCATTAGCTTCCAATTGACATTTGGGACATTGACACACAAAGATATAATTCTCTTTAAGAATCTGAAAGCAACAAAAACAATTATTAACAAGAACATAGAACAATGTCTTTAATGTCAAGGGGATCCCTCACCTTTTGTCGTGAATGTCTACTTCTTTCCAATTGACATTCATCTAAATATGAAATACAAATTTCTTCACCTGGCTGTATGGGTTGTATGGCCTTCAGGACTACAATATCATTGGAATATGGAAATGTTGATTGAGCATTAGGAACACAACTGTGATTTATTTTACTTTGCAGTAAATATAAACCAGAACCTTCGTTATTTAAGAATTCGCCAGCGACTAAAAGAAAAAAATAATAAAATTATTTTATTCTGTTTTAATTTAAAAGCTAAAAACTTACATTCTCCTACTTTATTATATAGATCATCTATATATTCATCCAATTTTACTTTATCCGCTTCGGGCATAGGTAAATCTGATACCTTTTTAACCCATTCGGCTAAAACACTGGTGGCCACACCTTGGCTATTGGTGCCCACTAAACCCATAAGAGTTTTAAAGGCTTCAGGAGTAGTAAACTTTAAAAGAATTATAAAATTAAAACCTAAATAGTTATTAAAAAGAAAACTTTTTGTAATTACCACTGCAAACTCTTCTCCCTGAAAAGCTTCACAAAAAGCGGCATACAACTGTTCCATTTGTATTTCGAAATTTTCACCCAACATTTTGTGATAAATTTGCTGTTCCTTATTTACAATTAACGATTGGAAGGATTGCAAAGTTTCTAAAAATTCTGCTTTATTAGGGCTTTGCTGATACATGGCCATTAGGCGGACCAAAAGCATTATGGTGCCGGTCTCAGGAGGATAATGCATTTTTCTGTATGAAACAAAAAATGTTGGAATTATTATATATTGCTTTATGATCGTTGTAGTAATTTTGAAACAAAAAACACTCACTTCCATATTTCATTTAACCTATTAATGGGATGTGAATCATCCGTTCTAAAGCTACCCATACAGGCAACACGATGATATTTCTTTAACGCCTCCATACGGCAATCTTCCGAACAGTAGCGTACCTTACACTTAGGACAGCAACAGAACTGTTCCAACCATTGTTTGGTGGGATCATGTTCTAACAAAGGCACCACTAAAGCTGGTTTGCTAGCCAAACGTCTGACATTTTCAGTGACCGTTTCCAAGGGACGCATACAATGATCACAGGCTGCATAGCCATAGGCAGCATTCCAAGAGAATTGACTAGACACAAATGGTTCCTCTTCGAATATAACATCTCCCACGTTGTAGGCCTTTGTGGCCAACATGGCACGCCCCTTTAGAGATAGAAAATAACTTAGTAAATGTTTTCCAGATTTAGATTACCTCAAAACGAACCTTTCCTGGTATTTCCTTAATATCAAAAGAATACATTTTGGATGATAAATGTGTTTATTTAAAATTTGGAAGTCTATTCTGCTTTGTTTTGATTTTATTTTGTTGCTGCTAATCAACGCATGTGCTTGTCAAATTTATTAAATGAGATGTGTTTAGTTGGTAAACGTAAACGAGTATGGCAACACCAGCCACTCTAGGTGAGCATATGGCAATACTATTAAGTTAATTTGTAAATCATATGTTCAAACAAACACTTTATGTTTGTAGCAAACAGGAGATACGAAAAATACATTGCTGTTTGACAAACCAGAGTTTCCTACGTCGTCAAACCAATGTATTTTAAATGGGACATCAAACAAAATCTGTTTGAAGGAAAAATTCTGCAATTTTTGCAAATTCTTTATTTGATCTCTCAAAATGTGTGTAAAATGGCAGAAGATCTGCCATTTTACACACATTTTTTACACAGCTGAAATTTGGGCAGGATGTTAGTCTCCCACCAAATGTATCCAATAAGACGGGATTTTTGGAAATTCGAATTTTTTGGGGGGTTAAAAAAGGGTAAAAACGTAAATTCGGTAACCTCAAATCTCCTAAACTAGAAAAGTTACAAAAACAGTTAAAGCTTATCGTCGTTCATTTAAAAAAAAGCGGACAGGTGTCCGGTAATTTTTTCAAATTCGGCCGCTTTGGGGAATAAACGGGTAAAAACTGTAATTTGGTACTTCTTTTGCACCCCATGTATCTTTTAAACAAAAGAACATTAAAAAAAAATATTTTTGAATCCTTCATAACTTGACGAACAAATAAAAATATGAATTTAGTACTTTTTGGATATTCGGACGTTTAAGGGGTGAAAATTTTAACTATTTTTTGGTACTTTTTTATGAAACATTTTGTTTTTGGTTTATTAACTTATACATATGAATACATAATAACGGGCTCCCAATACGATGTTGCAACTTTTTGGAACAGAATTTGTATTTCGTTAATGGGGAGGAAAAAACTACCAAAAGGGGTAAAAACGGGAAATTTGATTTTATTCAAGAAACACTAAATATGCTAAACGGTACCAAGTGATATTTTTTGGTACTTTTTCATTCTCCAATTGGTACTTTTTGAGTTTTCTATGATATTGAAATCGAAACATGAAATTAATAATTAAGGGACTTTTCGGAACTTTTTGGTTCTACAAAGGTACTTTTTGAGTTTTCTATAAACTTTCACCTAGAAACATGAAATTAAGCAAGTAGAGTCCGGAGTAAATGAGAATCTATAAAAGGGGACTTATTGGTACTTTATCGTACTTCGACTGGTACTTTTTTGACTTAAAACTTAGAAACATGTAATTAAGCACTTGAGAATCTATAAAAGTGGACTTTTTGGTAATTTTTCGTTCTTCAAAAGGAACTTTTTGAATTTTCTATAATATTAAACCTAGAAACATGAAAGCGTGTAGAGCCCCGATTAAGTGAGAACCTGTAAAAGGGCTTTAGGCACTTTTTAAATAGAATTTTCAAATTTATTAGGTCCAAGAACTGTTTTACGATTTTGTGAATAACTTTTAAAATCCTAGCAGTATTTAAGAGAAAATTTCTTTATTGGATAGAATGGAATACAAGCTATTTCCTACATGTAATATTTGTCGCCAGAAACCATCACAACCTTTCAATTTTTAAAGATTTTTCTTAAAAACGTTTACGAGACAAGCATTTAACCGTAGGCTAGTTTATAAAATGGTTATTTTAAAGTACAGATTGCCAACTAGCTGCTTGTACAGTTTTTATAAGATTTGGATAAAAAATGTAGAAGTTATAAGGTAAAACGTAAAAGTGTTTGAATTCTCCAAAATTGGCAAAAGTTGAACGAACGATCAATTTTCAACTGAGTAATAGGTGAACAGAATCTGCTAGCAAGCAAATTGCTTAAAACAAATTTTACAATTTTGTTAATAACTTTTTAAATATTTGGCACATTTAAATAGAATTAAACTCATATGAAAGCTTGAAATGTAAGCTTTCTAATGATAATAATTTTTTCCGCCCACTGCCACGCCTACTTATAGAAATTATTGCATAAAGTTTAAAAACGCTTGTACCACAAAATCTTATAGATTTCTAAAGTTTCTTTTCTAACCATCTTAAAGTCCATTTTATTCTCTATCTGCATGTGAAATTTCAAGTTGATAGCTACAGAGCTTTAGAAGTTATTAAAGTTTATTTGAATCGATCATAAACGTTTTATTCATAATATTAGGGTCAAGTCTTAAATTTACAATTTTGCTTATAACTTTTGAAATATAAGGAATATTTCTACAATATTGGGTTTATACAAAAGCTTGAAATGTAAGCTTTATAATGAAAGGTCATTTTCCGCCCACTGCCACGCCCTCTTAAGGATATTAAGGGTTGAAGTTTAAAAATGCTTATAACGCAAGAGATAAAATAAATTTACAATTTTATTTTGTTGTTACCTCAAAGTCCATTTAATTCTCTATAAGGATGTGAAATTTAAAGTTTCTAGTTGCTGTGCTAAAGTTATTACAGCTTTTTCGTAAGCGTTTTATGCTTAATTAAAACACCATTTAATTTTTAAAGTTTCAACAATGTTTTTTTTTATTATTTTTGTTTTTCTGTTTATTTTCAAATATTTTAATATTATTTTTCATTTTTTTTTCTTCTTGGAGTTTGTTGTTGTTGTTGTTGTTAATTTTTAGAAACTACTGTTTTTTAGCTTTAAGTTAAATATCACTTAAAAATATAAATATAATATTAATAATAATAATAATAATAAATTTTGTTTGTTGTATTTTTCTTTTCTCACTTTTGTGTTTTTGCAATGCAATATATAATTTATGAAAATTTAATAATTAAAATGGTTTTCTTTTGGTATTTTTTTAAAAAAAAGAGAAAAAACTTTTTATAATTGTTAAATTGTTTAAATTTTAAGAAAAATCCTCTACTAATTAAAAGCATTTAATGATTTTTTTCTTCTTTTTTCCCCAGCAAAACAAAAATTTTAACAAATCATAAAACTATTTTAACATATTTGGCTTTAAATCATAATGATAAAACAACAAAAATAAGTTTTTTTAATTAAATAAAATGTATTTTTTTACCAATAATTATTAAGTGTTTGCTTTTTGCTGTTAAATAAACTGTAAAAATAGACCTTTTTATATTTTACGTGTTTTCCTTTTTTTGTTACTTTATATAAAAACTATTTTAGTAGCTATTTAAGCATAAAAATTAAATAAATTTGTTGTAAAAATGAATTAATTTTTCTTAAACAACTTTTTTAATTATCTTTTTGCCTACTGCTTTGAAATGAATTATAATAATGAATTTTCTTTTAAATTTCCTTCAATGATAAATTCTTTGCTTTTAAGAAAACAGAAATTCAAATTTTAAACTAAATAAAAAGTTAAAGAAAATAACTGTATAATTTTAGTTAAGTTTACAATAATATTTATCATCAATCCTTTCATATATTCACACTTGTGTAGTTTAAATATTAAATATTAATTATTATATAATTAAATAATTATGTTTTATTTGTTTGTTGTTTCAAAAGTAAAATGTTTATTCACTAACAAGAGCCATTTCACGAGCTGTTGTTTGCTTAAGAGCGCTGGTAACAGATGATGTTGTTGTTAATTCCGCCGTTGCATCATCTGAGTTTGATTTTTTTAAATTATCACAATTACCGCTTATCACATCCTTAGCATCCTCATCCTCTTCTTCTTCGGCAGTCTGCCTACTCTCCTGTTCATTGTCGGCCCCTTCATTACTATTAGCATCCTCTTCGGCTTCATCGGCAAATGATATTTCTGCCTGTAGGCCACTGCTATCATTTGTCACTTTAACACCTTGTTCTACAACTATTTCCGAGCCTTGTTCCTGCTCCTGATTATTATTAACTTTATCCGTATTTGCCATATCTACCTTATCAGTTTCTTCCTCTTTTGAAACTTTATCTCCACCTCCATACACTTCTTCTTCGGGTATATCTTCAATAAGACTACGACTACCCGAACCCACTGAAGGTGATTTATTATCCAGTGAAGTGGCATCTTCATCATCTGACAATTTCCTTTGTAATATGGGATCTGATGCACGTAGCGAGATATCAGAAACACCAACACCTTCACCACTAGGCCTTAGTACTAGATATAGTAAAATATCGGATAAAGATATAATACCAATAACTTTGCGATTCTCATCGACCACCACTAGACGATGGACTTCTGCTCGTACAATACGTTCGAGTATGGTGTAGAGGGTCTCATCTAGATTACAACATTGCACACCCTCAAACCATTCATTGCGATGTTCGTTGGCTTTGCGCAATGAAACATCGAGATCGTTGTAGGTTTTTTCGGCTGCCAGGTTCTGGAAGAAGAGAGAAATTAAAGAATTTGAGGTTAATAGGGAAATGGCATAAAGACTTTATACTACACTGTAGACTTGACTATAGTCTACACTATAGACTAGAATATAAACTAATATATAGACTAGACTTTAGACTAGACTATACTATAAACTAGACTAGACTTTTGACTATACTATAGACTATAGGCTAGACTATACACTATACTATAGACTAGAAAATAGACTAGACTATAGACTAGACTATAGACCAGACCATAGACTAGACCATAGACTAGACTATAGACTAGACTATAGACTAGACTATAGACAAGACTATAAACTAGACTTTATCTTAAGACTATATACTAGACTGTAGACTAGATAATAGACTAGACTATAGACTAGACTATAGACTAGACAACAGACTAGACTAGACTATAGACTAGACTATAGACTAGACTATAGACTAGACTATAGACTAGACTATGGACAAGACTATAGACTAGACTATAGACTAGACTATAGACTAGACTATAGACAAGACTATAGACAAGACTATAGACAAGACTATAGACTAGACTATAGACTAGACTATAGACTAGACTATAGACTAGACTATAGACTAGACTATAGACTAGACTATAGACTAGACTATATACTAGACTATAGACTAGACTATAGACTAGACTATAGACTAGACCATAGACTAGACTATAGACTAGACTATAGACTAGACTACTATAGACTAGACTATAGACTAGATAATAGACTAGACTATAGACAAGACTATAGACTAGACTATAGACTAGACTATAGACTAGACTATAGACTAGACTATAGACTAGACTATAGACTAGACTATAGACTAGAGACTAGACTATAGACTAGACTTTAGACTAGACTATAGACTAGACTATAGACTAGACTATAGACTAGACTATAGACTAGACTATAGACTAGACTATAGACTAGACTATAGACTAGACTATAGACTAGACTATAGACTAGACTATAGACTAGACTATAGACTAGACTATAGGCTAGACTATAGACTAGACTATAGACTAGACTATAGACTAGACTATAGACTAGACTATAGACTAGACTATAGACTAGACTATAGACTAGACTACTATAGACTAGACTATAGACTAGACTATAGACTAGACTATAGACTAGACTATATACTAGACTATATACTATACTATAGACTAGACTATAGACTAGACTATAGACCAGACCATAGACTAGACCATAGACTAGACCATAGACTAGACTATAGACTAGACAATAGACAAGTCTATAGACTATAGACTAGACTATACTATAGACTAGACTATAGACAACACTATAGACTAGACTATAGACTAGACTATAGACTAGACTATAGACTAGACTATAGACTAGACTATAGACCAGATAATAGACTAGACTATAGACAAGACTACAGACAAGACTATAGACTAGACTATAGACCAGATAATAGACTAGACTATAGACAAGACTATAGACAAGACTATAGACTAGACTATAGACTAGACTATAGACTAGACTATAGACTAGACTATAGACTAGACTATAGACTAGACTATATACTAGACTATAGACTAGATAATAGACAAGACTATAGACTAGACTATAGACTAGACAATAGACTAGACTATAGACTAGACTATAGGCTAGACTATAGACTAGACTATAGACTAGACTATAGACTAGACTATAGACTAGACTATAGACTAGACTATAGATTAGACTATAGACTAGACTATAGACTAGACTATAGACTAGACTATAGACTCGACTATAGACTAGACTATAGACTAGACTTAGACTAGACTATAGACTAAACTATAGACTAGACTATAGACTAGACTATAGACTAGACTATAGACTAGACTATAGACTAGACTATAGACTAGACTATAGACTAGACTATAGACTAGACTATAGACTGGACTATAGACTAGACTATAGACTAGACTATAGACTAGACTATAGACTAGACTATAGACTAGACTATAGACTAGACTATAGACTAGACTATAGACTAGACTATAGACTAGACTATAGACTAGACTATAGACTAGACTATAGACTAGACTATAGACTAGACTATAGACTAGACTATAGACTAGACTATAGACTAGACTATAGACTAGACCATAGATTAGACTATAGACTAGACCATAGACTAGACTATAGACTAGACTACTATAGACTAGACTATAGACTAGACTATAGACTAGATAATAGACTAGACTATAGACAAGACTATAGACAAGACTATAGACTAGACTATAGACTAGACTATAGACTAGACTATAGACTAGACTATAGACTAGACTATAGACTAGACTATAGACTAGACTATAGACTAGACTATAGACTAGATAATAGACTAGATAATAGACTAGACTATAGACAAGACTATAGACAAGACTATAGACTAGACTATAGACTAGACTATAGACTAGACTATAGACTAGACTATAGACTAGACTATAGACTAGACTATAGACTAGACTATAGACTAGACTATAGACTAGACTATAGACTAGACTAGACTTTAAACAAGACTTATGAATAGACTAGACTAAGTAGTTTTTAAATAGTTTAATAAGTTAAAATTAAATATTTTTTTAATTCTTTCATAATACTTACAATAACATCAAATTTAGCATAGATATCAACTAAACGTCCTTCGGAATCAACTAACGGTAAGGCGGATACTCTTCGCTCAACGAATTTCTTTAAAGCTGTTATAATGCTTGTATGTTCATCGGCCACTTCGATATTATCATAGGTGCCAATTTTTAAAGCACGCAATGACTTTTGCATATAAGAAGGTTTAGGCAATTCATTAATCTAAAAAGAAAACAAACACAATAAATTAATAACCTTTAAACCTTCCTTAAAAACATTACTACTTACATATAAAAACAGGAACCTTAATATACGTTTATGGGTTAATATATATAATACATTGCCCGTAGCGGGATCTATAACAGGTAATCGATGTATACGATTGTGTACGAGTATCTTAATGGCATCATATAGCGAAGCATCGGGACCGATACTAACTAATGGCATAACTTCATTATGTAAAACACCTAGAAAAAACAAAAATTTACTTAGAATAAAAAAAATTATATTTTCTTTTTTTTCCACCACTTACTTCTCCATGTATCTAATTTGTGCTCTTCCAATTGTTCTATTGAGGCATTCGGTGATTTATAATACATTCTTAAAATTTTTATAAAATCTGTTATGGTTAACATTCCAACAAATTGTTGTTTCTGTGAATCCCATAGGGGGGCGGCACGTACACCATTATATACTAAAGCATAGAATGCTTTCTTAACCAATAATTGTGTATCGAAGACAACCAATTTGGCTGAGGTTGGTATTAGATCGTAACATTTGTGGAAACGGAAAAATTTTACAAATATCTGAGAATCATCTTCTTCTGTAATAAGATAATTATAAAAATATAAATTAGTAAGAGAACACATTCTATAAATTTTAGATTTAAATAATTTTTGACACTTTAGAATTTTATAAAATTAGTTACTATTTGTAGATATAGATCTTGGTTCTATATTATTCACTTGTTTGTAAAGAAAAATAATAAAAAAGTATAATATTTTATTAAAAAAAATATCCATTTTAACTACTCTACAATCCAGGCTATCGACTACTCTACAATCCAGACTATAGATTACTCTACAATCCAGACAATAGAATACTCTATAGTCCACACTATAGACTACTCTATAGTCGACAATATTGACTACCCTATAGCCCACACTATAGACTACTCTATATTTCAGACTATAGACTACTCTACAATCCAGACTATAGAATACTCTATAGTCCACACTATAGACTACTCTATAGTCCACACTACTCTATAGTCCAGACTTTAGACTACTCTATAGTCCAGACTATAGACTACTCTATAGTACAGATTCTAGGCTACTCTATAGTCTGGACTATAGGCTATACCATAGTCTAGACTATAGACTTCTCTATAGTCCAGACTATAGACTACTCTATAGTCCGGACTATAGACTACTCTATAGTCCGGACTATAGACTACTCTATAGTCCGGACTATAGACTACTCTATACAGCAAACTATAGAGTAGTCTAGTCCAAACAATAGTCAAAGTTATAGACCAGACTACAGTATAATCTATAGAACAGTCTGTAATCTAGAATATAGGTTACTACATCGTCCACACTATAGCCTACACCATAGCCCAAAATATAGTCTATTATACAGTCTATTCGAAAGTCCAGACTATTGCATACTCCACAGTCCAGACAATAGTTTATTCTATAGTCCTGACAATATCATATTCCATAGTCCAGATTATAGTCTATTCTATAGCCCAGAATATAGTCTACTTTAAAGCTCATACTATAGTCTATTCTATAGTTCAGATTATATTCCAGATTATAGGCTATTCAATATTCCATTTATAGTTTATTCTATAGTCCAGACTATAATCTACGCAATAGTACATAGACTACTAAGACTGTAGTCTACAATATAGGTTACTATATAGGCCACACTATAGCCTACTCCATAGCCTAAAATATAGTCTATTTAATAGCCCATAGCATATTTAATAGCCCAGATTATAGTCTATTATACAGTCTATTCGATAGTCCAAACTATTGCATACTTCACAGTCCAGACAATAGTTTATTGTATAGTCCTGACAATAGCATATTCCATAGTCCAGATTATAGTCTATTCTATAGTCCAGAAAAGCTCATACTATAGTCTATTCTATAGTTCAGACTATATTCCAGACTATAGCCTATTCAATATTCCATTTCTATAGTCCAGACTACTAACTATAGACTGCAGTCTACTCTATAGTATGAATGCCATAGTCATCTCCATAGTTCAGACTATAGCCTGCTCAATAGTCCATACTATAGTCTACTCTATAGTTCACACTATAGTCTACTCTGTAGTCCTCTCTATAATCTACTCTATTTAGTACTATAGTACAGTTAAGACTGTAGTCTGCTCCATACTTCAGACAAAAAATCCAATAAAATATATTTTATTTCTTTTTCACACTATTTAAATATATTAAAACTAATGATTTTGAATTAATATCATCTGGCAACGTTGCTGAGAAGTGTTAAGAAAACATTAATGCTACAATATGAATGAAAAAAACGAAAAATTTGGCTAAGATTTTTAAAAACTTACTATTTTGTACACTTTTCTTTAAAATTTCCGCCAAACAACGTTTCCAGGCCTGGGAAACATGTTCGAATTCTTTAATACTCTCTAACGGATATATTTCAATATCTGGATTCGATTTTTGACCAGGACGAAGAACCAAACGACCGGCATGATTAGAATAGAAATGAAGTTGTAACATGCGGACGTTAAAGCGGGTTAAATAAAGTTTAAAAACAGCGCGCGGGCGTTAAAAAAAAAAAACAAAAATGAACGACCTCTCTTGAGCGTTTTAATAAACGCGTTTTAACACATTAAATACGTTTGTTAAATAAAAATGCATTTAGAACAAATTTTATCACAATAGATCAACTGAACTCAACAAAAAGAAAAAAAAAACAATTTATAATTTAAAATAATTGTTTATTTCACAGCACTAATAAATCTACAACAATAGAGAAAGAAAAAAAAACTGAAATAAATAAAGACTAGAGTCTCTAGTTGAGAAAAAAATAAAAAAAAAAAAAAACTAAAATAATAGAAAAACATTACACTACTGCAGACGACTCAAGACTATTTTATTTTATTCATTTTTTATT